AAGAGTCATACTAAAGAGAAAGAATACTGGAATTCTAATTGTGTCGATACTCCTATTCTTCACGCATGTGCACTCTATTCTTTCTCCAATAAGGCTTAGATTAGTTTTATTAGCAATAGATAGAATAGATTGTTCTATTTAAAAAAAACATGTTTCATGCCGGTGTGGAATCCACACAATGAATGCTCTTTTCTCTTCTATTTTTCTGCGTAGAAAAAAATGGATAAATTACTTTTTAAAGCAGCACTCATTCTCTAGAAAGTAGTGAGATCGATTGTGGTGAATTCGATACAGTTGATTTTTAAAGATCGTTGAAACACAGTTTTCATGAAGTTGATCGTCTCATAAGATCACAAATAACTTGAATACTCGAATCAAAGCATCTCCAAAAATGCTGTCCTAGAAGATGTATTCATGTAATAGAATACATAAACAAAATAATTCAGTCTATTTTCTGATTACTATACTAATATGCAATATTCTCTGTGAACACGTTCAGTTTCATCTCGTCAAAATGTGAGGGTATGACTAAGCTCTGAATGCCTCACAAATTAGTAAACAAAGAATGAATAGTCGAAGTGATTAGTCAGTATATTGAATCGACATTTCACTTTCTACATTCCAGTAGATTCAACCAGAATCGATTTATCATTAAATAGATTGATGACTTCATTTTTAAATCGGACACACACCATATATGTTCAGGTTGTTTTCAATACAATCATTAGCAAGAACGAAAAACCTTTCCAAAAAAAGCCAAATAATGCATTCACTATTTTCAATAGAACGTATTCAAGTGATGTAGCACAATAACCTGAAACATGTATTCACGCAGATAATTCAATGTGAAACTTCAATTAAAACTTTGGCTCTAAATATAGAACAGAAAACACTAGAAATAGCTGCTCATAAGTGAAGCAAAATGGTCTTTTCGATTTTTTTTCTTCATTGTTCAAAGTTCGTTGCTATTATCATACTTCTTTTCTATAGATTAGTGCTATGTGGTTATCTTTTTTTCAACATCAGCAAAGTTCATCAAGAAAGCTAATAATCCTGGTCGTTTGATTGTCGAAGTTTTGATTTGGAATTTGTTCTGAAAATAATTCAAGTTTATCGAGACGTTGATGGCTGAGTTTTACGTTGGTGATGATCCGTAAATTGAAACAGTTGAATGACATTTATGAGTAGACTACAAAATCCTATTAGCAGTAATATTCCTGTCATTGACATATGAATTGTAAAAGTATATATCAAAACGATTGCTGTTATTCCACCGAGAGCGAATAGAATAATCAAAACCAAACCAAACCATTTACGTGATAAGCAACAAAACCATTTGAAAGCATAACACAGAAGACAGAAGACACAAGAACAGATGCCAATTTGGTTGAGCATAGCTACGGCTGTTACTTCCTTGTAGGCCCAGACAAAACAGATGACTTTCGATGATGTCGAATTTGTTAATATGTCTCCAGGCTCACAATTAATTCTTACATTTGAAACCACGTTTTCCACAATAAAACAATCACTTTTCGGTAGTGGACACATGTCACGTTCCAATAAATTTCGTACTTGAAAGATCCATCCATCGATGCATAACAATGAAATGATCCATGCTATGGCTGCCAATTGAAAAGCGAGAGCTAGACGAAAACGTCGTGAGGATAGAAAATTAATTTCAATACCATAAAAATCCATTATAAATTGACTTTTATCGGATCGAATAATAGCGAATTGTTTTTCAATCAATTTTGCTAATAATTGATTTGGTAATAAAAATGCTATGAATATTTCAACAAAGAAAACTCCAAATACGATTCCATATAGAATGAATAGATATGTATTAAGCTCCATCATTATGACTTGACAGTATGTTCAAGCACAGATGAATGAATATTCTTCTTTGATATATCACGTTATGTTTGTTATTGAACTGAGATCATGTTACTATCACACATTGTCAAACAGTAGTTGGATCAAAATAATCAACAGTGACTAAAGATTTGTATCTAATTCGATTTCAACCTAAAGATCTGAACAAGTCCAACAGATTATCAAGTCAATTGTAGCCGTTTCGCCTAAAGACTAAATTCTATCTATGCTTTCATTTTTAATTTCGAGAATTGTTGTATGCAAAAACATTTAGAATGCATCAACATACACGTCATCAACAAAAACTGATAACGTGCAATGTACGTGACCAAACTGAAGAGAAAGCCAATGTTGTCTCATTTAAAGCTTCAGCAAATACTAGGGAAAAAATGAGTAAATATAAATTTCATTCTTCTAAAAACAACATAAAAAACACGATCAAAATATTTCTTCATTGAAATTCCTAAAGCAAATGTTGTTGTAATTCTTTTGTAAACGATTTTTTATATTGATGAATTTGAGTTGCTATTAAAATAAATGTCAATCCACAGATTTAGATACAAGATGTCGAATTTTTTGGGTCAGTTTGTTCATCACTATCCAGAAAACAGCATCATGTTAACTTAAAGACTTTAAAGATGAGTACAATACACAAAATTGTGGAAAGTTCACAACATTAACACCTCACACAAATCTATATCCTACCTACATTCGCAGTCATACCTTATCCTAAATCAAATGCCGATACTCTTCTTATGGAATCTTCTCAATTGAACTGCGTCCAAGAAAAGAGCGTAGGCACCAAGTATGAGAATACCGATCAGTCAGCTATGAAAGAATATGTTCCGACCAGCAGTGTACATGCTTTCTTTTAATAAATTTGAAGTTTCCAAGTCCACCCTACTAAAAAATGAAGTTGTACCCGTACCATTTCATGGTAAATTTTCTTGTACTGCCTTTATTTACTAAAAAGTCTTGATTCCTTATAAAAACAACAAAGAAAAACCGAATATATTTCGCAATTGATCGATATTTGGGTATAAAATTAATTGTTTCTGTTCTCTTCTTGTTACGTTAATAATTCCTATGATTTTAATTACTTTTTTTTTATATTCACGTTCATTGATCCAGTAATAAAGGAACAGAAGATTTTTCTTTTATTTATACTAATGAGTTTAATTAATCTGATCAGATGGAATTCATGAGACCAATGAATTATAAAACGGTGCTTTCGTTTCCACAACGGGAGATACATGCAGTAACAGAAGTATAGGAGGTAATACAAGCAACAAAAGTAATGAACACAATGTGAATATGTAGATACCAGTGTTAAAATTATGTGGCATCCTCAAGCAGTTTGATGAATTTTTTTATTTGTCCAAATAACCAATTTGTTTTGTTGATAATTCGAATGATGTTTTTTAGCCAATAGAATAGTATAAGACAAATTGTATATTTCCATTACGTGAATTATCTCTTATACGGCCATTACTTCTATTTGCAGAAAGTTCAACAAGGTTTTAGGAATTCATTTGTATTTTTTTGAAAATTCATAAAAGACATCATATGAGAGTTTTATAAAGATTTTGAATTATTTATTCAGTATACAGTTCATCTAATTAAATATTTCTAAATTCAATCAACTATCTTTGATCTTTGCTATTCTAAGAATCATGATCTTTATCATCATGTACATAGAAACGACCATGATTCGCAGCGCTTCATAAGACGCCACTTGTCATCATGTCGCAATATTGATAGAAAAGATGCATTGTGTGGTAATATATTAACAACGATGAGCTGAATAGTTCTATGGTTAAATAATTATTTATTTTTCAAGATTTAAATGTTTTATAACTGAACTGAAGCTTCAAGTTGGACATTTGTTAAAAAAAACAGATATTCCTGAAAAGTAACTTAAAGAACATTAATTACTTTAATGCAATTTTTTTGTCAAATAAAAATTTTTCACGCTTAGGACATCAAGTTCATTATAATCGATGTCTGTTGTCACATAAAGCATTATGATGTTTGTTGAAATTAAATAAGACTATTATTTCGCTGAGGTTTCATAGATCCTACATGCAGAACATTTTATGCAATATTTTATCACATCAAGGATGTCTTTGGATATACTTAACTCTGACTTTTCATTTGAACTAATTTTAGAATTCAAATGTTTTTTTTCCTTTCTTCCTCTTTCTTTTTTGTATATAGTAGACTCTAAATTTCCATTCAACTCATGATTAGTTTTAGATCTTTTTCTGCTACGATTTCTTACGATAGACTGTCCATTGAAACTAGAAATATAACTCATATAAATAAAATCTACATCTATTTCTAAATGCTGTAGTTATGGCCTCACTTATTTTTTTTCTTTGTAAATATCCTATTTCAGAATTCGACAAAGCATATCAATCTTATAGTTATACAGAAATAGAGTACAAAACTCCTCTGTATTAGATTATCTAAAAATTACTCCCGCCCATACCTATTTTGTGTCTAACATTTTGCACATGTTATTAGCAGTGAATTTCTTCATCTAAACAATCAAAGTGAAATTCTTTTTTCTTCAGTTATTTTACAAATAATAAAAGAAGCAGAGATGTCCATTGCAATTGAAAGATTCCACTGAAGTTGAATTGTTGTTACTGATTTATGAGATGCACCAAGTCTCAGAGTGTTACATTTGTAAACACTAACATTAAATGCAAATTCATAAAATTTTGCAATACTCTTAAAAAGAAAAAAACTGTCATGACACCACGACAAACGCCTCTGGAAGGAAGACATTGAAATTATCGTTTTTTTTAGAAGTAAAAGGAAGGAAATAATATTTATTTAGCCTAAAATCGTATCTAATTTACAGAAGAAAAAAGTCACTTTTATTTCTATGAATCTAAAATATTTGAAATATATAAATAGCAAGATTATTGTTTCGTTCATTCTTGAATCAATTTCTAAAGAATGCTGAACTTTGTGTCAAATAGAAAACAAAAAACAAAACTCAATTAAGAATACTTCCTCTTTTTTCTTCAAAAAATAATAAAGATGCAAAATCTTTGATAACAAATAATATACAGACGACTTTTCAATTAAAAAGAGTTTTTAATCATAAACAAATAATGTTAGTTTATCGACGGCTGTTGTTGAGATTTATTAGAAATAAGTATCGGATTAGCAAGTTTAATAGCTGGTGTAATTGATGATGATAATTGTTTGATGATATTAATCTGTTTAGGTACTAACGGTGATGTTTCAATTTTATTAACAGATGCAATTGGATGTGATGAAGTTGATGCTACTAATCGGATTGAATTCGATGGTAATGACGGTGATTTATTAATTGATAAACGAATTACACGAGGAGTAATCTCTTGTGTTGTCTAAAGAAAAGATTTCAAAAATTAAAAAACGAAAAATATTTACATGTAAAAAAAATTTTCACCAAAATATTTATTCAAGTTTTTGCCGATTTAGACAACATAAGAAAGACAAAATTTGAATAAAATAATTTATTTTTTAAAATGCCTTCTTACATATAAAATGACTCTCTAAAAATAATAGAAGATTAAAATTATTCTAAAATATTTCTCAAAAAAAAAAAAAAACACAAGTTCTAAATGACGAAAAATTGGACTTATTTAAATATTCGTCCATAGTTAACCAGTCTTAAGTCAGAAGAATATTTTTATTGTAATTCATTACTTTTTTTTTTCTTTTAGTGATGTTAAACTGTTCAAAAAATTGAATAAACATTTTATGCTAAATTTTTACAGTATAGATTCTATGAATATTTCGACTTACAACAGTATTGATACGTCGTGAATCTTTTTGTATTGTATTTGTTGATATAATTTTTGTAACTTTTCTAATTGGTTCATCATTATCACATTCATCAGTTAGTGGTGATCCACCTAAAATTGGTTTAAGTTCAATAATTGGTGTAAAATGAGCTTGTTGTTTTATTCCATTATAATTATAATTATTTGATATTTGACTTCGATGACGTTTATTAAAACGATTCATTATAAGAGAACGACGATTTGTTGATGGTTGTTTTGGTAAAATTAATTCTGTTGTTTTGATTATATTTGATGTAACAGAAGATGTTCTTGAAATATTATTAAAAATTAAACCTTTCATTGCTATAAAAGATGATACAAAGAAGACAAAAAAAAAAAAGATTAGAACTTAAAAAAAAAATAAAACAATCTTTACATTGTGCATTTCTTATATTTGCTTTATTTTTTTTAATCATTTGATAGAATGTTAAAATATCTGGTTGATTTAAACATTTTGATATTGGTTTATTTTCATTTTGATTCATTGTATATTTAAGTGGATCAATAATTTGTTGATAATTTTTTTCATAATCTTCATTTGATGTATAAAGACATGATAATGATGAATGAACACTAACAATAAGTGTTAAATCAAGTATACATTGTGTTACAGAACTAATTGTATTTGTACCATATTGATAAATAAGATCTTGAAAAAATTTTGTATGAATATTATGTAATGATGATATTGTTGAACTCAAAGATAGATGAGTTTTACGAAGAATAGTTGGTGTAGATAGATGACGATTGTATGTTGTTTTGGCAGGAGAAACACTGACAATAACTGGTAATGATGAACTAATAATAAAAATTAATTTTCTGATTTTTTTTTTTTTTTTTTTTTTTTGTAAAATAATTTACTCATTTATTTGTTCATTTGATGAACATTGTGGACATGAACATTTGATAAAATGTCGTTGTTGAGGATGTCGTCTATCATGAATATGAACAATTAATGGTCCAGATTCACTTAATACTTTTAAAAACCATGATGAATTCATATTTGTTAATGATGATGATGATGATGTCATAGAAGTAGATTGAGATGATGTACATATTTGTATATCAAAATGATCAACTCGTATATCAATTTTTGTCCAACTAACACGAAGACCACGTAGAGCCTTAAATAAATAATTCGATAAAAAACAAAAAAATATATTTTTTTGTTTGTTTGATTATTTAATTAACCTCTTCAATTTTTGATAAAATTTTTGTACGATATGAATGCCAATCAGCTGTACTATAAATAGCTAATTCAACTTCGAATATTTTATTTTCACGAGAACGAATTTTTAATAAAAATGTATCAGGACCATGACCACCTAAAGAAATTTAAAAAAATAACAAATACCTAATTCAAAGTTCATTTCCGTTTCTACATTAATTTTTATTAGTGAATTCAATAAATATTGAAAATTATATATGGAATTATCGAGAAATACTAACGAAATTTGAATGTATAATTAAAACTGTTAAGAGAAATTATATAGAACTGTCGAGTATTTGAGAGTTCAAATTTAAGAATTTTTTTAGAAACATTTAGATCCATATTCGATTAACTTAAGATTGATTCGTATTGGATAGCACTCATGAGGGAATATATCAAACTGTTGGATGACGTTCGACCCTATATTTTAGGTATGAGTAGTGCACTCATTGAAACTAAAAACAATAAAAAGATTCGGAGTAGTGATAAGTGAGATCAATCCTTTTTGGTCTTGGTTCTGGCTTCGCATAATATGTACTAGCGAAAAATGCGATATGATTTTTTTTTAGTAATGTCAATAAACTCGGGATATCTTACATGATCTATAATATTCTTTCTTTTGGAGATTCATTACTTTTTGTTAATTCACTAATACTTCTATTCTGCACATTTATGTATTCGATAAAAGAATTAATTTTATTATCAAAATTGTAACGGCAAGTATATCATTGATACATAAGTTCTACACGTTTAGATCAGTAGAATTATATTGCCAATATAAAACTACATTCAAAGGAAATTAATTATGTATTCTGATAGTACTCAGAATTCTCTATCATCTTGTGTGTTTAAGTTGTGATTTCCATTTATTTGCTGAAAAATATCTCGAATACAGTGAAGACACCTTCACTCTCAGATTTCCACGAACTCCATTTTTTGTTCCTTTTTTATGTGCTTTTAAAATTTTTATCTATACAGTAATCCGTTTTTTAGAAAAATAATTATATATTTTGAGAGCCCTTAAAACACTCTATCACCCTGTATATTCTGGTCTTGGCTTGAACTTATTTGCTGAGAAATATTTTTCAGAAAATAAATGCAAGTCAACACTTATATACATAAGGTGATAGAGAATACTGAGCGTTATCAGAATATATAATTATTTTTCTTAAAATGTAGTTTTATATTGGCAATATAATTTTACTGATCCAAACGTGTAGAACTTATGTACTAATGGGATATTGAAGTGATCATTACTCAATACACTTTCACGAGTGATGAGCGAGGACTGGAACTATCTTTTCCATATCTAGTTCGAGGTTCATGCATTACCAAACTAGAACTGTAATCGTTTTTGTAGGAGATTCAGTCTTTGGGCCAGTTATTACATGTCACCTTAAACAAATGTACTTTTCTTGAAATATCGAGTGTCTAAAACAACTCGATTCTATGACTTGCTTTGTAATATCACCGAATTCCTTGAATAGTCGATATTTCAAGAATGCATTCGTTTGCACTGAAATTTTTAGAATATTCTAGTAGCTGTAAAATCTATCTTTAAACAAAATTTCAGATGAAAACTTTATAATTGGCTTTTCTACGAATAGTTGATTCGGAGGCTGAAAACTCATTAAAACAGTTCAAACTCTGAATAGGTAATGTATGGAGTCGAACTTTCTAATAGTTTCATTGAGTCTTAATCAAGGTCAAAATATGAAGTCAAACGACAGCTGACAGTTGGATATGTTCTCTCATCAGTTTAGTCTTGCCTTATGTTTTCATGAAATGATACTTTTAAAAGACAGTATCGAACATATATAATGTGAACATTATACAACAAAAAGAAAGCAGCCAAAAATTATATATTTTCAAACGTTGCAAAATCGATTTTTTTTTGTTCTTGTTATATGCTGGTAATATAGTAATGTAATCTTACGTCCTAAAGCATTCATTAATTTTGCTCTTGCTTTTTCAATAGGTGTTTCAGGTATAGATTGAGTTTCAATAATAATATGATTATTAATATTATGTTGTATTTCATCATGATGTTCGAATTTAATTGTTGGTGATAAACGTTCACCAAATTGTTGTTCAATTTCTGCATCAGTTAATAATGTTGTATTAATATTTGTATGTAATCGTTTTTTTCGTATACGTTTTGGTTTAATATTTGTTTCACTTTCTTCAATATAGAACTTTTTACGTTTACGTATTCGTTGCGGACGTAATGTTGATGAATTTGATATAGGTACATTTGTTGTACATGATCGATGAATATTTTGTACATAATTATCCAAATCATGAGAACTAGGTGAGAAGAGAAAAAAAAATAAAAATATGATTTTTTTTAAATTTTCTTGTTTTTTTTTTCAATTATTACTTACTATTCGGTTGTTCCAAAGCTCATTGGACCAGTTGGAATGACCTATGAAAAGAAAAATGAAATTTAATAAAAAAAAAACAAATTATTTCTACATTTATTTGTATAGGTTCTTCTTTTGTTTCAGTAACATGAGTAATAACAAGCTAAAATAATTAATTCAAAAAAAAAAAAAAATTTTATTTTCTATAATATTAAATAAACAAACTTGTTCTTGTTGTTCTATAGGTTCATTTTTAATTATTGATGGTTCAGCTAATTCAATAGCTATTGTTGGTTCTTGATTTTTAATTTTTGATAAAGATTTTTTTTTCTTTGGTTTTTTAACATCTAATGTAAGAAGTATTGAACTCATATCTTCATATGCAATACGATTTGTACGTGATGAAGATTTTTTTTCTGTTAAACTATCGAATATATTACCATTATCATCATCAGACATAAATAAAAAATTACTTGATTGTGGTAAATCTTTAATATTACGTCGTTGTCTTTTTGTATTTAATTCAGAATTATTAGAATTTTTTGATTGATTTATATGAATTTCAGTTGGATTTTTATTATGATTTATTATTGTTTCAGGTAAATCAATAAGAAATTGTTGAGCAAATGTTTTCATATCCATTTCATTATCATCTTGTACAGTTTGTAGATCATTATCTTTTTCATTATTAGGATTTTGTTGTTTTTCAATTAATTTATTATGAAATCGTTGAATATCATCAAGTGTATTAAATGCAACATAATATTCATTATCAATAAGATGATATTCAGTTGTTGATGATGATGATGATGATGAATTGTTATTAATTTGTTGAACACATGTTGAAAAAAGAGACATATTTAATTTTTTTTTCACCATCGTATTTAACTTAAAATTATAATTATAATTCAATAAAATATTTTCCTTTAGTTTATTTTTAACGATGCAAATACGCGGCCAATGTGGCCTCCGCAACAGCCCTAACAAATCATTGATTTGTTTAATGTTGCTAAACTCGGTGCCAATTATAGAGAGCGACATGAATTTGTATAAAATAATTATAGAAAGAAAAATAAACGAAAAAAAATTGATTCTCTTATTAACAGAATATTGAAGAAATGAAAGATAAGAAATAAAAGTTTTTTTAAAAAATAGTTTATAATAGTAGATGGCATTAGTAATCGTTTAGGTGATTCATAGAGAAGTTGTGTTATTTGATAAAATGTTCATTCAGTTTTCAATCAACTAAAGAAGCTTACGGATATTGAAAAATATTGAGTTTGAATCAAAATTTTGTATTGTTTTTGAATATAGATTCAAAATTTCTCCAGGACTTTTGATTTAGAAATTATAAGTAGAAATTTTACAGGTACAAAAATTAAATATGGACAAAGAAAATTGCTTAAATTGATACAGTGTTGTTTACCCGAAATACTCAGTATTGACAAATGACTTGGAGCAAACTAAATCTTACATGAATCATTGTACATTTACTATCAAAAAAATTATAGTGAGTGTAAATTATAAGCTGCAATTTTGCGGCACATTTTCCTTTACACACGTAAGCAACCGAGATCAAAGACCATTAGCTACGAATCCTTCCAGATCAACCGAGTACAATAGGCATCAAACTCCTTTTCTAGAGTTGTTCTTTAGCAACGAAAAAAGGTTGAAAATGATTAATTTGCTTTTTTTTCTAACCATATGACGAATAACATTAAAAAAAAAGAAGAATCCAGATAAATAGTACGGAGTGCAACAAAAACTGACATCTCGAGATTGAAATATAACTAAATATTAATATATAATTACAAAAGAATAGAATTAGATAATAACAGTAACAATAGTGAATGTACAATATATGCAAGAATAGTTAATTGTTATTTTTCCATCTATGTGGATCTGTTTTTTTTTTGTCATATATTTGAAAATATAATTTTAACAGTCAAAGTATTTGTGATGAAAGTTATATACAATAGTAGAGTGGAACATAGACTATAGATACGTGTTGTAATGTAATGGTTATTTTTTATGCATGAATTATTATAATTTGTGAAAATCTTGTCATTGTTTTACGATCTTTTCAAAATTTTTTTAAATCAGAAATTATCAAAAAATGACTTGATTTCGAACTTTCTTTATTTTAGTTGAGAGAGAATGAAATAATTTTTCAATTTTATTGTATTAAGTTGCAAATTAATTACACTACATACTACATATATTGTTATGTTAATTTATTTTAAAACTGTAACAATATTAGTAAAAAATGTTAGGGGTCAGTTGTTTTTTTTGCACTCCGTACTAATTCTTTTAGTTAATTCAATATTAAATAATCATTTACTAATACTAGTGAATGGTTTATTAAGAAAATTTATAAGATGATTAGACGAATTTCAAGATATATATTACCAAATAAACAAAACAACAATATTATCATAGAGAAACGAAGAATATCAACACGTGATTGATCAATTTTTCACTCTCCAATGTTTAATAAATTTTCATTAATAATTCGATTGAAAAAAAAACTCCAATATATTTTGAACAAAACTGTAAATATATATTTGATAAAAAATTGCTATAAATATAAATATTAGATTGACATTCAATATCTTCTTGTCGATTAACAAGACAAGTACTTAAATATGAAGTAATTCGAGCACAAAAAACAATAATAAAGTATAAAAACTATCGACATTGATTCACTACACATCTATCTATTTCCATTCTTATAAATGTCCATTGTCCGATATTATTAATATATTTAGACAACTGAATCAAGACCAAAAAATCAATATGAATAGATCTGTTATCTGTTCTATTCTGATGTCATATAATATAGAGAAAGTAATATTTATGAAATGCACTTTATCTTTAAATCCTTACGAAGATTATCACTAAACAGAAAAAGAAACTTTTCAAACAGTAAAAAGCAATGTTCGAAGGAAAATAGTTCGCGAATAAAACGAAAGAGCAAACAGAATGTTACTTTAAACATCTATTATAAAAATTTATATCAATTCTTCTCTTTGTACTATGAGTTGTCTCAATCAATTTCGAATATAAACGAAGAACTCAGTGTTCAGTATCAGTTCACGAATAAACGACACTTTTATGTATTCGTACGAAAGGGTGTCGATGTGTAAAGTGAATATCCACATCGACATCCTCAAGGTAGTTCACAAGGACTTTACTAATTAGTCTATGAAAAAAAAACGGAGGATGAATACTATATTAAGTACCAATAGTTACTCTTATGAGTGAATCTGTAAGAAGTAACTCGAATGCAGTGGCGTATCCAGGGTAAGACCATTGCTCACAAATTTAAAAGTAATTGCCCACGGATTTGTTTGAAATCATACCGATTGTCGAATGCCGAAAAATCATGATACATACATTTACAAAGACCCAAGTATTGTCATTTTAATACATCGTATCTTATTGTGATTTTATCAAGTGATCCAGAAAGATCAATTGACTATGTTTTCTATTTCTATTAAACCGATGATTACAATAATGAAAATTCAACGGTATTTTTTTTTTGTCAAAATACTCGTTATTCTACCTAAATTCGCTAATGGTTCTATTTGTATTTATTTATGTTTTTTGACATAATATATTCAAATATTTGACAGTTAAAGAATACATTTGTGAAACAGTAAAAAAGAAATAAAGCGAACATAGCTCGCCTCTTGAGTTATGAGTGACGAACTTCTCTTCAATAAACATCAGTTTTTGTGACAGCAATAAGTTTTTAAAAATTTATAGCTCAATTGATTTTTCATTATCCATTACTGTTCATTCCTCAACATAATTTAGCTGAGAAATGGATTATAACTTAAAAATTTCTGACTATGCCACTGCTCGAATGAGTACAAAACATTTACCTTGATGGTTTTCAATAACTACACTTATTCGAAGAGATGTTAGAGAGCAGACGTCGATCTGTTAAAATTTAGCTTGAAATCTGCAAGGAAATCAATTATTTTCTCGGAAAATAATGCGAAATAGATCAAAAAATGTTGCCGAAGATAAAGAAACTCATTGGCCTCTATTGTGAAGCATCAAATATGCAATTTGTCTAACCAGAATTCTCGTTAGTTGAGGACGAGAGCTTGTTAGACTGATCAGATCTTCTGATTTATTAATAGTAGGGCATAGGATTATAATTTATGTCATATATGTTTCCATCTTAATGAGTCGAATATTCTATAATTTTGATCAGTGTTAATCAATATATTTTCTTCGATAATTGTATCAATCACTTGAATCAATATAAATAAGTATTCTAGAAAATGTTTATTCATCGAAAAAAAAAACAGGTTAAAATAATAGACGAATGTTTAGTAGTAAGAATATTGACATAACTGTTAATATCTTTGCTGATTAATTTTGTGTCATTCTGTTTGTTTTGCTTAAATAATGTTAAAAGAAAAAAAAAATTCTTCTCATCTTATAGATGTTCGAGAAAAGTGACAAGTATTTTTTTATTAGATGATACCATGATGTTGAACAATTTCAAATAAAATTCAAAGAAAAAAAAAGTAATGTGTAACTCCTTTTACGATATTTGCCTCGATATATTCTTTTTCATCGGACTTTTTACTTCTTTGTATAGTTCTAAATAGAAATATATTACAAATGTTTTCAAACTCAAAAACTTATTCATTGAAAAGATATTTTTAAAAAAAAATTGAAAATTAACTTAAAAATGGTACAAAAGATGATCCTCAAATAATGAAAAACCATTAGATGAAGAATTATTTGTTGATGATATTTATCGTTTTGATCAGCTAACATTAACAATAGATGATATACAAGTAGCTTCATTAACAGCACGTTGTACAATAACTAAGACAGCACAAAAGAAAAGACAGATATTATAAGATTTTTTCTTATGACACATCTAACATACGTGCCATAACATTTGTTTTTTTTTCAGATCGATCAGATTCTATATCAACTTTTGTTCGATAAGAAATTTTTTCTATTTAAAAAGAAAAAAAGAACAAATGGCTATACGAACTAAAAAAGTTAGTATTGTTGGCAAATACGGCACACAGTAAGATGAATATATGTCTATCATTTACTATGTAATAATAATAAGTTCTTTATTTTTGTGAAAATAGTTATGCTGTATCATTACATAAAATGGTTAACAAAAATGGAAGTTATTTAACATTAAAAATACATGTGTTCATTTTGTGGTAAAGACAATATGAAACGAAAATATGATGGTATATGGAGATGTCGTTCATGTTAAAAAACAGTAGCCAATGGTGTTTATGCTTATTCAACATCAACAGCTGCTGCTGTACGTCGTTTACGTGAAATGCTCGAACAATAAACAAATAAAATTTTTTAGTTTTTTTTTTTTTTTGTTCGTTTCGATTATAATGAACATCATTAGAGAAAAAGAAACAAGAAGAAAATAGATAAATAAATAAAAGATTCGATGAAAAAGATTTAATTAATATTCTAATAAAAAGATGCTTAATGATAGAAATAAGTCATACTTAAATAAAATAATCTAATAAAATATGGTGTTAGGTTTGGTTAATTGATTGTTTAAATAATCTTTATTTCATTTGTGTTATTATCTAAGGATTAAAATTTATTATCGACTCCTTATGATTCTATCATTTATTGAAGATAATATGTGACACAAAAGTAATTAGATGAATGTGTCAATCCTTATTTCTTTTCGATAGAAAGGTGATGAAAGAAAACTTTTTTTGTATTAGAAGATATAGAATTTTTTCACCTTTCGAATTATAACATGCCGGCAATTTGAAATTTGAGCAAAATTTTTTTGCCATAGTTGGATAGGACTTGTCGAGTTAATTAAAAAATGTTGT